TCCGGGATTCCTAGCCTCTTAGGTACCCGCAGCATCGGAGGAGACTGGCTTCAGGGTCTTTTGCCCTTTGCTGCTGTATGAGTTCCAGGGGTGCAGTTTGCCCTCATGAGGAAAAGACAGTGAGAGTGCAACCTACTGCCCCGCCTTCTGTCCTCCTCCGAAGGCCCAGTAAGGACAAGCCATTCACTATGTGCCAGGCGTGCGAGCAAAAAGAGCCCTTTCATACCAAAGTATCTCTTCTGTGCTGTTATTTTGTGTTAAAATATCAACATCTTAGCATTAAGACAATAGTCAACGTTGTGACTAAGAGCTCAGCACTGGAGCCACCCTGGCTCAGATCCCACGCTTACCAGCTGTGTAACCTCAGGCGACTCACTTAACTGTTCTTGGCCTCAGTTTCCTTATCTGCAGATTGGGGCCGACAGGAGTCCCCACGTCGCAGACTATACTGCCAAGTGCCGCCTGGCAGTGTTGTCATTTTAATCACCAAATGTACTCTAAAGGTCTGAATTTTACTCCGGAATGATATGCCCAAACACTCCTTTCTACCAGGCAATACATAGATCATATTAAACTTCTTTTATAAGCGTCCATTAAAGTTTTCTGCCTCTTTTTCTGCCTGGCCTCAAGGCATTTCCTTGTGTCTACACCAGAGGTCAGCAAACGACAGGGTGGCGCCGAAGCCAACCCAATGCTGTGTTTGTAAGTAAAGTTTTCCTGGAACACATCTACATGCTCTCGTGTACGTACTGCCTGTGGCTGCTCTCGTGCTACAGTGCAGACACGGGTGGCTTCAGCAGAGATCATGTGACCTACAGCCTGGCCCTTTACACAAAGAACTTCCAACCCCTTGTCTAGACCTTGGGTCCCTCTGATTTACATCCAGCTGCGTTAGGAGGGCAGAGAAACATAACATTCAGGATTGCCTGTGTGAACCAAGCTTCCTCCCAACTCGGGGCTCTCCAACCCCAGCTCTCACCTTTTCCCTTCACCGCATAGTCAGAAGGCTTAGTACCTGACATGGAATGGTCTGGGAGAGAAAAAAAAAGTCGAAGAATTAACAGGCCTTTCAAATTCATAGTCTAATAGCCACTTTGGACATTTTCCTCAATTGTCATCATCTTCATGTCTTTCCTGAAATCTAGAATTATTGAACCCTGGGCTTCATTTCTTCCTGCAGATAAGCAGAAAACGGCCTACTCACTCCACTTCGCAGAAGCTAAGTGCATCATGGGCAGCTGGTAGCTGGGAAACGTACACAGTAAAGCAAACCGATGACCAATGAGACCAATGTGTATATCCTACAACTTGGGTAAAGTAAGCAGAGGACCCCTAGAATTTGCGACAAAAGGGGAAACATTACAGTTATTAGGGGTGGGGAACCCACATTGGCCCAGGCCTGATTCTTGGGAGGGGCCTTGGAGGGAAGGAAGGGGGCCAGTTCAAGGGCAGAGTGCACTGGACCCCCTGGGAAGACAGAGCTGGCGGTGAGATGAATAGACTGACGTGGCCTCGGGTTTACTTGTGTGAGGGTCAGAGGGCACACAGAGGAGACAGGAGGAGGTCAGTGGACAGCTGGACATTCCCCTGAACCTTTACAAGTGTGCCTGCCCAAGAGCTGCCCTGTGGTGCGAGCTTAGTGGGGTATCAGCAACACGGGCCTCGTACTAACTGTGTGACCTTGGACAGGTTACCCGACCTCCAGAGCCCTCGCTAGACCCAGATATCAAAGGTGGAGAACTCTTAGGGCTTCACGTTGACATAATGGAGGCAAAGGGCTCAGGGCAGGGCCAGCCGTTCAGCAAGGGCACAGCAATGGGAGACCCACCCCAAGGCAGGCGGTGAGGTGGGAGGACGAGGCCTTCACCTCCCACCGCCAGCTCCGTGTCCAGGACAAGGACCCTGAGTACTCGGGTCAAGCTCGTTGTGGGCAGAGACAGAAGCCATTCTAGACATCCAGCGGGACCAGGGAAGTGAGGGGGCTTAGCTTAGTCTCCCAGATCTTCCACTCTCTACCTTCTGATTTCAACCACGAAAACCGAGTGCAGTCCCTGGAAAGGTGAGGGGATTGGGTGGAGGGAGGGAAGCGGAGGTGACTGGATGGTATAACCATCTCGAATCGCCCAGCCCTGATGACCGGGGTCTTGGCTCAGAAGGGTCATCATACAGTGGCCAAGATGGGCAGGGAGCACGCCTCCCATCCTTGCCCTCCTGGAGCAGGCCTGGCACGCAGGAGTTTTGGAAGCCTCTACAGCAGTCTCTTAGGAACAGAAAACTAAGCTTATACTCTGTTTAGACTTTAACCACATGTGTTCATCCCTGTGTTCTTGATGGTCCTGTGATATATAAAACTCATTCAGCAGCTGAATTACTCTCCCACCAGGCCCTGCCCTCCCCACCTTGGACGGTTTCATTTTGCTGTTAGCACTCCCTTTACATTTGGTACTTACTGGGTTATGGTGTCATTTATTCATTGACTTTCAATGTTTTTTCCTTTCTCCTTACTTTCTCATAATGATATCTTATAATTTGTGATTTAGTTGTTCTGTGAAATCCTAATTATGTTAGTAATTTGAGGGAAAAGAATACTATATTTTCATGGTTTTCAGAAGCATCTCTATTTAACGGATTCTTTTCTGAATCAGGCAGGGTCCTAATCATTAATGAATACACAAATTTGTTTTACTTTAGAAAGTTTGGGGTATTCACGAAACAGAGTCAGAGTCTTATGGTCTCCCTGAAATGCGCCTTGAAGAGCTCAGCTCTGTTCCGTTCAGAAGGTGTCAGGAGTCTGCCTTGGCACGGAACAGCAAGAACAGCTTTGGGCGACCAGAGAGGAGCTCGTTCACATCCGTTTCTTCAGCGAGCATGTACTGAATCGCTGATCCTTGCCAGGGAGCTTATGAGCTGCTGGGATGAAAAACACAGCTGCTGACCTCAGTGAATCTCCTCGAGAGGTCCGTGCTTGAGCTGAACCTGAACAGTTAGCATTTTGGGTAGCGTGCCAAGACAGACCTCTGAGAAATGAGCACTTTGATGACGAGAGAATCTGGAAGGGCTGGTGTGGGGCTGCAGGCAGAAGAGCAGGTGGAGATGGGTGAACGTCTGGGGAGAAGAGGGGCGCTGCCTCCGCCCGTCAGCCCCTTCCCTAGCCAGGCGGAGCCTCCAGACAGACAGAGACAGCCCTGCAGTCTGGACCTCCTACAGCCTGGTGGAGGCCGTATGTAAGCAAGTAATCACAGTGTGGCATGTTAGTTACTAAAACGAAGGCTAATAGACAAGTGACTAACTGCTTGGAAAGAACTGCAGAAATTTCCATTAAAACAGCGACGTTAGAACCGAGTCTTAAGTATCCTGTAGGACTTCAGGAAGAGGAAAGTCCTCGAGTTCCAAGGAGGAAGTGAATGAGGATGAGGTGAGAGGGGTGGGCAGAGGCCAGGCCACCCACGGCCTTGCAGGATGTGCTAGGGAATGTGATGCTCACCCGGTAGGCCAGGGAAAACCAATGTGGTAGAGAAAGGGGGTAAGAATATTAAGGACAAATGATTCAGGCATGATTAGGAGACAGTCAGATTGAAGTTAATACAATTCCAGGATCGAGTTTGGGGCTTTATAACCAGTTGCAATCAGCTATCGCTTAGGATAGGTAATTTTCCACTTAAACGCTACTTTTGTCCCTAATCTTCCCACTTTCCTCCAAGGAACAATAAGTTTTGGTTCCTAGAGCCTAGCTGACTGATCTGCAGCCTGGGACCCATGAGCGTGATAATAAGCGTCTATGAGCCAATTAATAGTTGAATAAACACCAACAAGTTTAACATTTACCTGCAGTAAGGCTGCACAGATTCATTAAAATGCTGTGCTGCTTTGCTTTCCCCAGGAATTATATCAAGTTATTGCAGTAACTGGTTATCTCAAGAAGCTTCGCTCTTCATGACATCATGAAATTTATTGACGAAATATTGTTTTAAAACACGGAGTCCATGTTGGGGGAGACATTGTAATTAAAAAGACCTCTGGTGGCCAAAGGAGGGACTTCCCTGGCGGTCCAGTGGTTAAGACTCCATGCTTCTACGTCAGGGGACATGGGTTCGATCCCTGGTCGGGGAACTAAGATCCCATATGCCACTCGGTGCGGCCAAATGAATAAATAAAACCTCTGGCTCTGAAGAGTTTAGACATCCAGCTTAGTTGATGAGTGTGTTATGTTTGAAAAAAAAAACAAAAAAACAAAAATAAACCCTTGGGTACCTAATTGAGCAGTATTCTGCAGAAATAATTTATGAAATTTTTCATAGATTTCTATACAAATGTACATTTCCCTAAAGAGAATGAGAGTTTGTAGCACATCTGCATCTCAAAAATGTATATAGTTACATAAAAGACCATTTTAACAACTTTTTTTTTTTTTTTTTTTTTTTTTTTTTTTTGCGTACGCGGGCCTCTCCCGTTGCGGCCTCTCCCGTTGCGGAGCACAGGCTCCGGACGCGCAGGCTCAGCGGCCATGGCTCACAGGCCCAGCCGCTCCGCGGCATGTGGGATCTTCCCGGACCGGTGCACGAACCCGTGTCCCCTGCATCGGCAGGCGGACTCTCAACCACTGCGCCACCAGGGAAGCCCAACTTTTATATTTTTATAGGGATGCATTCACTGGGTGTTGATCTTGGACTTCTTGGGGTTACATGGAAAAGGTAGAATCGCATTTTGACTTTGATTTTAATTCAGGGTTTCAATGGACATTAAAAAGGTGCAAGACTTAAGTATTAATGTTTAGTCTCTTTTTTAGTGTGTTTTTCTACATTCAAGCTGTGCCTCACAGGAGATATTCTTAAATTGTCCACTGTAACCTCGGGCTTTTCTGTTGCCTTTCTGCAGGAGCTTAAAATAATTTGCTGCATGATGTTTTTCCCCCAGAGTTTCTTCTATATACTAGTGAGCCATTTGGGTGACTTGTTTTAGTGAAGTTATGAAGATTCATATGTAGTATGTTGCTTTTACAGAATTATGAAGTTTCACGTCGCAAAACGGAAGTTTAAGGAAACATTACGCCCGTATGACGTAAAAGACGTCATCGAACAGTATTCTGCTGGTCACCTGGACATGCTGTGCAGAATTAAAAGCCTGCAAACACGGTGAGCAACGTGAGGGTTACTTGTCCTACAGGAACAGGCACAGAAACTGTCTGGGAGGAATGTCTCCCTAGTAGAGAAAACTCTTGAATTCCATGTTTCTAACTCTTTTTTTAGTGAACAGCTGGACTTTTGCGTTGAAACGTAGATTTTATTTAAAAGTAGATCAGTCATTAAAAGCCTCAGTGTATCGGCAGTGTCTCAGTGTCTCACCTGTGAAAATGGGGTATTGTCAGTGGCTGCCTAGGGTCGTGGTGAGGATTGAATGAGTTACTGCAGGGTCACCGAGTGCTCGGGGAATGTTAATGGTTGGTGCCGCTGTCATTTCCGTTATCGCCTGAATCCTAACCATCCTTCAGAGGAAAGCTAGTCTTTCTCCTTCGTTAAACTTGACCCACCATCCAGCCCACAAAGACAGACCTGTCCCTCCTCTGACCCCCTAAAGCGAGTAGAGTCCACTGCAGGGAGTAGAAGCGCAGCTCACCTTGGAATACTGTGCCGGAGAGTCAAACTGAGGACCCAGGGTTGACTCTTATACTGCTTCCCTGTGGGAAGCTTGTTCCCCTGGCCCTGGACCCAGTCTGGGCCCTTCCCTTCATGCCTGTCCTGCACGGGGCTAGATACACACCGTCTTGCCAGGGAGCATCTTCTCTAGTGGTTGAAAGAAATGAGTTCAGTATGTTATTTCAAACATGTAGTTTGATTGTGTCATCTTGAAGCCAAAATATTTAGTCAGTTTTATTTTTTTAACAGCCTTGCTTCACTATCAGGCCCCAACTACCAGCATTCGTTTGAACAGTTCTTAAAACACAAGGACTGAGTCTTCAATGTTTGTCTATGCCCAGAGCACACTTAGCCCAGGGTGAGGCATACACTAGGCCCTTGGTAAAACACCTGTTGATTTCTATAACATTAGTTACAGAAATCACAGGTTTTTTGTTCATTTCATTCAGCAGGTAAGTATTGAACCTGCAATGTGTACTGGGCACCCTGGGCACCCAGAGATGAACAAATGACCCAGTCCTTGTAGAGCGGCAGTTGAATGGATTAGATGTCGTGACTGCCTGTACTCCTGTGCACACAAAGTAAACTGGAAAGTTGAGTCAATGTTCCTTATAATTCAGTTCTAAAACACACAAAAAGGAAGAAAGTAAGTGTCCAATTTAGGCTGACTAGGTCTCCTTGGAAATTGTTTTAAATCACCTGTGATCCTGTTACAGTCTCTGCGCAGGTAGCCAAGGTTTTCCAAGTCCTTTCACAGAACTACCTAAGGCTCCCAACGTTTTTGTTTGCTTGTTTGTTTATTACAAATGTAATTGGTTTTCTTTTATTTTTCTTCATAGTGATAGGGTCACTAGTTAAAATACACTGTAAGATCTGCAATTTAAATTTTATTTCATGCTGCATTGTAGGAATAGTTTACGTAAATAGCGTCCATTTAATCATTTAAAACAAAGGTTAAATGTAAATTAGGATCCTGTATTTATACCTATGATTATTTATGATTTTCTGGTAAAGTTTTATTTTTCTGAGGGTGAAGGAATTAATGTTTTTGAAAGTAAGATATCTTTAAACTAATTTGATAATTTCCAGAAATCAATTGACCTGGAGAGAATGCCATAACATTACAAACAGGATTTTTTCATTTAACATATGTTTGTTCAATTGGTTTTGTTGTTTCTTTGTTTTTATTGACGTATAGTTGATTTACAATATTGTGTTAGTTTCAGGTGTACAGCAAAGTGATTCAGTGATACATGCATTTATATCTTTTTTTTTTCAGATTCTTTCCCCTTATAGGTTATTGCAAAATATTGAGTATAGTTCCCTCCCAATGTTTCTATAAAGTTCAACTGCAGCAGAATTTGCAGAACTAATCTGGAGTTTCTTGCTTATGTGATGTGTGTATACTGTCCAACTAGAAATCCTGAGATGGAGACTACAGCTTTCTTATCTGCTTATCTTCCATATGTCAGATGTATGATAAATGGTCACTGAAAAATCTGTTCTGTTATTAACATGAAATAGTCATAATTATGATTTTGTCATTTTTAAGTGGTTGAATTCAAGAAACACCTGGTCAGGGGTGGAAACAGACAAATTACTTGGTAGTTTAGGACATTTTTTGCCTCCAGAAGATCAGCCATAAGTGATTTCATCATGGACTAGAATAATGAGAAAATTAACCTCGTGTAATTTTCATGTGAAGAAAATAAGCACGTCAACTGGAAGAAGTTCATTTTTATTTCCTCTTACGTAAATAGAGATAATCGTATTTTTCTTTTCAAAACCCTTCCTTCCAGCCTAGGGCAGTGTCCACCTTCAGCACTCATAATCACATCTCTTTCTCTGCTAGTGTGGATCAAATTCTTGGAAAAGGGCAAATCACATCAGATAAGAAGAGCAGAGAGAAAATAACCGCAGAACATGAGACCACAGATGACCTCAGCATGCTCGGCCGAGTGGTCAAGGTTGAAAAGCAGGTACAGCTCAACTAAACTGCTTAACTTTTTAGCCAGATTTTTTTCCGGTTTTATTGAGATATAATTGACGCATATCGCCGTGTAAGTTTAAGGCATACGACATAATGGTCTGACCTCCCTATACTGTGAATGATCTTAGCCTCCATCATCTCACAGGGACACAATAAAAAGGAAGGCACAGAAAGAAAACAACTTGTTTTCCTTGTGATGAGAACCCTTAGGATCTACTCTGTTAACACCTTCCTGGGTACCACACGGCAGTATTAGCTATAGTCATCCCCTTGTGCATCGCACCCCCAGCACTTGTTAATCTATAACTAGGAATCGGTACCTTCCGGCCACCTGCCTCCGGTCCCCTCCCTCCACCCGCTGCCTCTGGTCACCAGGAATCTGATCCTTTTTCTATGTGTTTGGGAAGGGGGTTGTTTTTTGTCGTAAATTCCACGTAAGTGAGATCATACAGTATTCGTGTTTCTCTGCCTGACCTATTTGACTTAGCATTATGCTCTCCAGGTCCATCCCTGCTGTTGCAAATAGCTGGATTGCCTTGTTTTTTTATGGCTGAGTAATATTCCATTGTGATATTTATATATACACACACCACAACTTATCTATCCATTGATCTGCAGTGGACACTTGTCTCTGAGTCTTGGCTATGAACATGGGGGTGCAGACATCTTTTTGAGTTAATTTTTGTTTCCTCTAGATATAGTCCCAACAGTGGAATTGCTGGATCATGTGGTAGCTCTATTTTTAATTTCCTGAGGAACCTCCATACTGTTCTCCACAGTGGCTGCACCAGTTGACATTCCCACCAGCAGTGCAGGAGGGCTCCCTTTTCTCCACACCCACATCAGCATTTGTTATCTCTTATCTTTTTGATGACGGCCATTCTAACAGGAGTGAAGTAGCCAGAATTTTTTTTTAATCAAAACTGATTATAGGCAGTTGGATGTATTTTAGTGAGTAATAGATTTTAAAAGGAATAACATCAAGAAAGAGCAAATAAATTAAATTTTCTTTATGCATAGACAGTGTTTCTCTAAAACACCTGGATTTCCATATAAGAAATAGAAAATTTCTTCTCATCAATATACTCGAACTGCAAACAACTATAGATTTCCAACAGTAGAATAACAAAGATCTAGTTTTTATTTGTGTTTTGGTTATTTTCATTGTCTCTCTTATGTCAATAAAAAAAAAAGCATAATAACTATGGTAGTGCACTGAATGTTTGTTGACCCTGAGAGTGTATCATCTCATACAAAGACAGTTTTTAGAAATCAAAATGCTCCCCCAATTTGATTATAAATATTCCAAGCATTTTATACCTTTATTTTTAAATTTAGAATCGCCTAGATTGATATCTAGGGTCTTTTTTTTGTTTTTTTGTCTGTACCGCACAGCTTGTGGGATCTAGTTCCCTGACCAGGGATGGAACCCGGGCCTCCTGTGGTGGAAGCGCAGAGTCTTAACCACTGGACCATCAGGGAAGTCCCAGTATCTAGGGTCTTGATTTCTTACAGAATCAGTTCCCTGCTAGGCAGCAGTAAAGTCCCAGAATGTCTTCAGGGAAGTGGCTGAGGAAGGGCAACCTGATCGGGGAGGAGGGTCTGGAAGTTGCTTTGTACAGCGCTTATACAGTTTTTGAAACATCAATTTTATCTTATTTTTTTTATAATTCATTTTATTTTATCTTTGCGTTGGGTCTTCATTGCTGTGTGCGGGCCTTTCTCTAGTTGTGTCGAGCGGGGGCTACTCTTCGTTGTGGTGCGAGGGCTTATTGCGGTGGCTTCTCTTGTTGCGGAGCACGGGCTCTAGGTGCGCGGGCTTCAGTAGTTGTGGTTCACAGGCTTCAGTAGCTGTGGCTCGCGGGCTTCAGTAGTTGTGACTTGTGGGCTCTAGAGTGCAGGCTCAGTAGTTGTGGCGCACGGGCTTAGCTGCTCTGTGGCATGTGGGATCCTCCCGGACCAGGGCTCGAACCCGTGTCCCCTGCATTGGCAGGCAGATTCTTAACCACTGCGCCACCAGGGAAGCCCCTGAAAATCAATTTTAAAGGCTGGGGAGGCAGAAGGGCGCCAGTGGAGACCAGGCGGACGGCCGGCGGAGCGTCCTGCCTCTCAGCCGTCCGTTCCCGCCCTCACGGCTGGAAGGGGCATCCTGAGCTGGTGCCCAGTCAGGACTGCGTACTACTTGCCTCTCCGGACTTCACGGTGCAGGCACAGCCGGACTTCTTTCTACATTCTTATCAACAGGTGTACGTTTTCCCCTCTTTCAGGTCCAGTCCATCGAGGCCAAGCTGGACTGCCTGCTGGACATCTACCAGCAGGCCCTGCGGAAAGGCTCCGCGTCGTCCCTCGCACTGGCCCCCCTGCAGACTCCGCCTTTCGACTGTCAGCAGACCTCGGACTATCAGAGCCTAGCCCCGCCCGGCGGCCGCCTGCCCCGCTCGGCCAGCGCGGGCCTGGCTCGGGGCCTGCAGCTCATCCTCACGCCTGGCGAGCTGGGGGCGCAGACCTTGTACGCGCTGAGCCCCCCGGCGGCCCAGGGGCCCGGGAGCCCGGGGGACGGCCCGGCGGCGGCGGGGGTGGGCGTGGCCCGGCCAGCGGCTCCTGCCACCCTGCAGATCCCGGCCCCGCTGCCCGCCCTGGGGGCCCTGGCCCCCGGCCCCGCGGGCCCGCATGAAGGCCTCCCCGACGTCTCCGCCCGCCTCGAGGCCGCCAAGGAGCGCGCGCTGCGCCAGAGCCTCGACCTGGACGGCGCGGCCCTGCTATCTGTCCGGCCCGCGGCGGCCCAGGACCGGGGCAAGTCGGCGTCGGTGCAGAACCTGATCCGGTCCACGGAGGACCTGGACGTGCCGCTGTCGGGGAGCGAGTCCAGCGGCTCCAGGGGCAGCCAAGATTTTTACCCCAAATGGAGGGAATCCAAATTGTTTATAACTGATGAAGAGGCGGGTCAGGAGGAGACCGGGTCGGACGCCTTGCACGCGGGGCCGCCGGCCCGGGAACCCGCCATGGCGTCGGACTGTCTCAGGACTGGACGGTCCCGATCATCTCGGAGCGCAGGAGCCGCGGAGGCCCTCGGCCGGGCCCATGCCAGGCTAAAATGAGGCCCTCGCTCGCTTCCCTTGCCCCGCAGCCTCTCAGCCATACACGTCGCTGCATGAACTCTTCGGGAAGCCCTTCTCAAAAGTTGAATGCCCAAGAATCAGGAAGAGCAGGAAAGGCAGTGTCCAAGCCCGTTACCTTTTAATTGCATGACAATGCATGTTCAGGGGACGGCTGAACTTCCCAGGTAGGACAACATTACCCCTCATTCAGGAAGGTACCTCGCGTTAAAACTCCTGAGAAATCAACACTGCTGGTGCTGTGGTGTGTGTGAAAATGTCAAGGTCAGGTCGTTTATAAGATTGGACTCTGTCTTTTGAAATGATGGGAGTAAGCGCCTTCAGATTTCAGGCATTTCTGCTTTGTGGTAAAACACAGAATACAGTTTCAGAATTAGGCCATGACGTGCGTACACGTAAACATAGTATCAGCTGCTGACAGGGTGTCCAGTAAAGCAGAATTGGGGAATCACAGAAACGGCTGCCTGTCCAAGACGTACTTGCCAACCCGTTCCTAGTCAGGCATTTTATTATTAATGTAATTTGAATGTCAATTCGTGTGCTTTTGGTGACTTAACGCTGTGGCCAGCAACTTTGCACGTCATTTTCATGTTCTTTATGACGAGAATGTTCTTCGGTTAGAAAATGTGCAAACAGTGAAAGTCAAGGCCAGTGGGGCAAATAGGCTGACTCTGACACATCTGACTTCAGTGGAAACGTACTCCCTGATGGCTCGCTCCATCAGCTGCTACACGAGCAAACCAAGTCCTGAGAAGCGGACAGCCGGCCGGGCAGGGCTGATCCGTGTGTCCTGCAGCGCTCTCCACTACAGGCAAGTGCGAGAGGCGCTTCCCACGGCTGATACACACGCAGGATCCTGGGAGCAGACGTGTGAGTGAGACGGGGATGGAAAAGGCTTGAAAAGAATCCAGACACGACACCGGGAAACAAGTGAGCTCAAGAAAACGACTTCCCCCTCCAGGGCCGTGAGAGGGAGGGAAGCAAACCAAAAGGAAAGACCTTGATTTTTTAGAAAACGAATATTGCTAAGGAATTCAACTACCTAAACATCCCTTATTCTTATATGCAAGCAGAGAATTTTGAAAGGCATTTATTTTTTAATATGCCCTGAATGTCTTTTGCTATTAGGTAGTACATTTTGCATATGGAAGGCTAAAACTAAACGTCCTTTACTTTTTATACTGTAGTGCACATTTTCTATTCTTCCCAAGAATGTTGCCCCCAATCTGAAATTACTGGCTCAGTTTCCTGGTACAAACATTTTATGGTTCAAAGTCAGGTAACACTGGCGGGGTCTGCGAATCAAAGCACTTAATAATACAGCATGGCAGCAAAAAGACCAAGGGACACCAAAGGAGAAATGTATGTACCAGATAGCAAGCAAAGTTGACCGCTTGTTAGAAACCAGCCTCGCTAGCCCAGACCGTCAGAACTTCTGCCAAGGTAACGGCACCCAAAGGGCCAGGAGAAGCGAGAGAACACTGGTTAAACTCTCACCACAGAAGGACTTAAAAAGAAGACTTTTTTCCTTGGCGGTAGTGCTGCCTCCGGGAAAACTTTCCCAGCGGCCAGGAGGACCAAGCAGGGCTGTCGCCGGCCACCCAGAGGCCAGAAGATGCCCTGACACCCGCCAAGTCCCTCCCAACTCTCTCCCCAGCCGGGTTTCTCCACCCCAGACTCCCCCCGCGACTTTTCTTCTCCACAGGCTTATGGACTCCCTGCCACAAGTTCCCTTCTGGACTTCACCAGCCGACATCCCCAAGTAAACCGCTTCTCCACTCACCCAAAATGCGCTTCTCAGCCTTTGAAGACCCTGTCCTTTTTGATAAACACTGAAATTTGGCAAGATTCCTCTTCTCGCCCCACCGGGATCCTAGCACACTCCCCCGGAGCATGTCATTCAGCGTGTGCTTGGGTGCTGGAGATATGCAGAAGAGAGTCTAAATTTGACACTCCAGTTAAGAAGAGGTTCTCAAGCTTTCGAAGCCATTATTTTCATTTTCGAAACACAGAGTGTTAGTAAAGTATTAAATGCAATGTTTCATCTACCCACGTATCCACTCAAAGTTGTGATCCATCCTCCCAAGGAGGTTGTACACAAGAACACACACACACACACCCCTACCCCTCCACTGACCCGAAGCCAGACCCCCGCCGTGCACGGCAGGCCTCTCCAGGTGTCGGCCGAGGAAGAGGCAGGAGATAGCAGCTTTCAGGTAGCACTGAGTCTTGGACACACTGTCCGGGTCAAACCCCACTGGCAGCAGGAACTCTGAATGTACGGGGGACCCCTCTGGCCCCTTTAGGCCTCAGACACAGCACAGTTCATCCGGCGTTGCTGAAGACGGAAGATTCAGAAACAAACCTAAGCCCATCACTGAGGGTTACCCACAGCCCCGCGTGGTAAATCATGTTAGGAAAAGCTTTCATACATCCAAGCCATGACCATTTTGTGTCTGTCTTACTCTATAGCGCAAAAAGTCCTGGATGTCGAAAGCCGGTTGTCTTGTGTGAAAACTGGAGGGTTGTGTCTGCTCTGTTCCTCTCGGCAGAGCCGAGAGGGGCCTCCCACTTACACTTAGCAAAGTCCCTTCGGTCAACCCCAGACGGCGTCTCGAAGCACAATTCAGCTGAGCGCTGATCAGCCGCCGGCTTTCTCGGTCCGTGTTCGTCTGCCTTCTGCAGTTCGTGGGGCTGATCAAGCTACCGCTTCCTGGCAAACATCCCTTCTAGGAGGTGAACTGAGAAACTTTGCTCTGTCTGATCTAAATGTTTGCATTGTGTTCAACTAAATTAACACGTGTAGATTGCAAGTTTCGTTTAAAGAAGACACTTGACTGAGTTTTTAAGTCTTTATCTCCTGTTCTAAGGTGCCTTTCTTGCCTCCCCTTGGCTCAGTGATTCTGAACATTCTTAATTTGCCAGTAAAACAAGTCTAACAGAGAGGAGGAAATCAGGCACAAAGTGACTAATTCTCATGCCTGTTTGCAAAGCAAACTATAAGGAAGGATGCAAGTGAGCAACTAAGTGAATAGGTCACTTCATCCAGATTGAGAAAATATCATAAATGTTAACTTATCTCCCCAGAAGCTATTTTTTGCCTTAAAATGACATGGTTGTGTTTTTGTAAGAGAAACTTAATTTAATATAATTATGTGCATTTAAGTGAGCAGTTCTGGAAGTCGTGTATGACAATGCAGTTGTCTGTTTCCTGAAAACAAATAAATCAGGAATATCATATCCATTTCAAGCTACCATTCAAATGTAATTTCCTTTGCTCTCTTTTACTGGGATTATTTGTTTTAAAGTAAAACATTAAAAAGATGTCTATAAACAGCTAGTGTGACTGCTTTCATCTCGTACTAACTGGTTTGTTCTGAACTAACTGGGTCCCAGTCGATGAAACTGATCGTATACAGATTTGGGGTTGAAATTAAAAATTACCTTTTTTCCAGTGTTGCTGAAGAAACCATTGGTAACTGGGGAAGAGGAGAGATTTGCAAATGTTGTTGAGGGTATCATAAGAAAAATTAACTTGATATTATACTGAATATTTATTTTTATATGTTTTTAATTTGATATATCAAAACAGATGCCAGCCCATATGAGCCCTGTGTCAGCTATAATAAAAGGGTTTGCTAAACGAGTGATAAGAAGTGGGGACCAGCAGGTCCCCAAATGCTGGAACCTCTGGCTGCTCAGAATGACCATTTGTAGCACCTACCCAGCGCTGCCCAACCAGGGGGCTTCTGCTCCAGAAGGGATCTTCCCCTTCTGCCCTAGAACCGCCCCCCCCTTCTGTTCCACTAGCAGTTTTGCACAGTGTGCATCATTAAGTGCAGTGGAATTATTTGAAAGGAGGCTCAGAATGTTAGAGCTCTGGAACGCAAAGCAACAAAGCCCTAAGAGAGCCGCCTTAGACGCAGGAGGAAGGGTGAGGGGCTGTCGCGTGAGGGGCCTCCCCCCATGTCTCTGAGGAGCGCACCCAGGTCTCCCTGCCTGTCCTGTCACCTTCCGGAGACGAGCGAAAATAATCAGCAAACTTGGAACGTGCTTGCTTTGACCAACTCAAAAACGTAAACGGCTTCCAAACGCTTTCGCGCCTACCTTACAGCCTCTCTCAGTCCCGCCTTTAAAAGCAAAATATACGGACAATTATTCTACCCTCATCATGGGTACAAGTAGGTTCCCAGACCTTGAAATGCCCACTTTCATCACCCTGCTTTCGACTACTTCAAGCGCCTGGTACAAGTAAAAATTTCTTCTTTAATTTTTAAAAATTTTTAATTAGTTACAGTAAGACTTCACCCTCTGGCCTACCTAACTCCAGGTTATTGAGGTTTTTACTACATTTCCAAGCAGAAATTTATCAGATACGCTACGTGCAAACTACAGATTATGCACTGCCCTGAAATCACAGCACCACAAGACTGGTGAAGGGCAACTTTTCTGTTCCAATAAATAAATAGAAAACCCGAAGGCACATTGGTGTGATATATTTCTTTGCCCGTTCCCATGGCCCATTCATTCCTATCATGGTTTTGTTGCCTAGTTCAAGTCCAGTGCGCTCCGGGCTAAGCATCGGGGTCCAGGCTTCCCACACACTGTCACCGACTTTCTCAACTTCTCACCTGCTTGCAATTTTTTTTTTTTTTAGCGAGGCCCATCTCTTTCCATTACTTGCTTCTACTTCCCCTTTCCTTTGCCTACAGTGGTGTGCCTACCTTCCAGCACCGCCAAACCCTGCCCAGCCCGTGACCCCAGGAGCTAGGTACCCGCACCTTGCCCTGGGGGCAGCCCCCGTGCTCAAGGCAGCACATCACACGCAGCCCAGGTCAACAGATGCTTCTGCGTATCTGCATCTCCTCGCCGAGGCCTCCGGACCACATGCAACACCACCTCCTGCTTCCAGGACTCGGGGGAGGAAATGCGTCAGCCCCTCCCCGGGGGAGCTCTTCCCTTAGGGACGACTAATTCTCCTGCTCTGGATCCCAACCCCCTCCTTCCCCGTATCTGCGGCATCTCCCACTCAGTAACAGAAGTGAGCCTCTCCCATGACCAGCACGGCAAGAGCTCACCTTCCTCTTTCTTTCTCTCCACATCGCACCTTCTTTAGAACCAACGATTTATAGCGTACGTTGTATAAGGTACTTCTGTTTCCCCAGCATCCATCCACCAGCCAGCAAGACAGTCAGGCCCATGCCTGCCCACCCCCCAGACAACCAGCTCCAGCCCTTCAGCATGACCTCCTGGAAGCACTTGCTGACCTCCCGGAAACACATGCAGTCAGCATCCCTCTTGGCTTCTCTGGGGCCGCCAACGCTGTGAACAGCCTGCCTTCCTTTTAAAACTGCCCCCCACCCCCGTTTGTCCCTGCTTCTCTGGATCAGTCCTCTCTATTCACTGTCCCAAGCTCCTTACTTTCCTTGCTTTGCAGTCAGTGCTCCAGATCCCACCCTTCTCTCCTCCCCTCACACCCTCCCCTGGTGGCCCCACCCGTGACCTCAGCTACTAACGCTGGGGTCCCACGCAATCGGGGGTCTCCAGCCCTGAGCATCAGCTCTGAATGTCTCCCTTGGGCCCGAAGTCACCTCGGTCGGACGTCCCAGACAAACTTCTTGAGGGGGACATGTCACAATATCCCCCAAGCATCCCCCGCCAGGCCACGCAGGCAGAAGGCGCTCAAGAACCCTGAATGGGTGAAAGTGTCCTGGTCTCTCTGGCCTTTTACTCAGTTTCAGCAGTTTCCAGCCCCTAACTTCAGAGGTCTTTCTCTCAAGGAGGATGTGACCCTCAGCCTCGTCCACACTGTGTCACAGATTTGATCGGCTACTTCTCCCAAAGGTCTCTGGGCTTTTCCAAAGGGAAAGAAATTAATGGAATTAATGAATGCCAAATAGTGAGTAATCGTGTTTCTGCAGGACTGGGAGAAGAAGCCCCCTCACCCCCCGCCCCAGGCCTCAGCATCCTTCGCCTCTGTCCCTCCTCCATTGACGAATACACTGCCTCAGACCCCATGGATGGTACCCAGGCCTAGATTCTGCCCATTCACCAGGAGGCCTGATTACTCACACTTCCCTGGAGCTCCAAGGAGAAAAGGGGGTTTTGTCTCCCTTCCCTGCTCCCTGAGCCCCATGAAACCACATTCCAGCTCCCCAGCCCTCTTTATACCCTACCAATGCCAAGCCCATAGCCAGAGCTGGCCTACAGTCTGTGGATCCCAGACTTTTAAATAACTCATGAACACACTACTATATATAAAACAGGTAACCAACAAGGACCTACGGTAGAGCACAGGGAACTCTACTCAATGCTTGTACTAACCTATAGGGGAAAAGAATCTGAAAAAGAATACATATATATGTGTAACTGAATCACTTTGCTGTGCACCTGAAACAAACACAACCTTGTAAATCACGTAAACTTCCAAAACAAGCTTAAAAAGTAGCAACTCATGCTGAGTGACTGCCCAGTGTTGAGCCAATAAGGGCTTTCCCAGGTGTTACCGAATTTAATCCTCACCACCTGACCACAGGTAACCTATCGGTTAGGATGGATTTGGCTGCGGGTATAAGAAAACCCGAGGACAGGGGCTTCCCTGGTGGCACAGTGGTCGAGAGTCCGCCTGCCGATGCAGGGGACACGGGTTCGTGCACCGGTCTGGGAAGATCCCACATGCCGCGGAGCGGCTGGGCCCGTGAGCCACGGCCGCTGAGCCTGCGCGTCCGGAGCCTGTGCTCCGCAACGGGAGAGGCCACAACAGCGACAGGCCCGCGTACCGCAAAAAAAAAAAAAAAGAAAACCCGAGGACGTTCTATTATCCAGCATAACTGAAGTTCAGGGTGGCTCCAGACAGAGCCGTTTGTTCAGTGATGTCGGCGTTCCGTCCTGCCTGCTTTCCCCCTGGTCTGGAGGAAAGTACTGGCGGATCCTCTCGCTGTCCACAAGGTGCCACCACAAGCGCCTTGATTACTTCTTGGGGGGGGAGGGGCGCCAGCCCAGCGGGATGTAAATCCTTTGCCGGCCCCTGATTAGACTAATGCAGGTCACACGCTCACTCTGGAACCTGGTAGCAGTCGCACCATGATTGGCTTAAACCATTCATGCCCCCCTCTTTGGAGTCTATCCTCCCGGGTAGAGGATCTGGCAGCCAGGGAGGTTCTGGAATGGAGGGTTAAGAGCCTTACTAGTCAAGTTATTCATGACTTGAGAGACCTCAGGACCCTTTGCTCCCAGAAACACCCACCACGACCAATCCCAGCCCCTACGGCTGGCAATCTGGGGACAAGGCCCGAGCGCCCACCTCCCAGGCCGCTGGCGGGGGACCACTTTCTGCCTCCACCTGGACTCCCACCTTTCTCCTCTTGTTTGCCCTTTAAGGTCCAAGGGGACCCTGGGCTTCTAGGAGAGGACCTTTCCTAGAAGCCCCTGTTTTCATTCAACCCAGAGCAGCCTGAGGAAGCTCCAGGTCTCAGAGAAGCAGCTGTCTTTCCCGTTTGCTTCTCCTTCGCTGGCCCAGAAGCCCCTCGCGGGCCAGAGAAGTTCATCTGAATGAAGGAGCAGGGCACCAAAGGCTTTGCGCACTGGGCCACTTGTTCTAGCGGATCTTTGCTGGTGGACCACTTTCTTACACCCCGGGGGACTTGTGGCCTTTGAGGGATAAGACCGGGCCACAAATGCCACCTCGTGTCAATGCCCTTCAGGTCTTTTTACCGATGTGGACCCAAAACTCCCCTCACGTCTCGACTGCCCTGGGAGAGCAAAATCCTTTTACTGCCAGAGCGAAATCTAAAGCGCCTAGAGCCAAACATTTCATAAGTGGACGCCTGAGAAGGCCGAAGGGAGACGGTGGCTCCCTCTCCGGCGGGACGAAAACAGGCCCGGCGGGTCCAGCGCGATGGGCGGCGCGGCGGCCAGGTCGGGCGGGCTCAGGGGCAGCTTCTGCGCAAACCGCAGCATCTCGCATCTGCAGGGAGAGGGCGGGGGGACACTGGGACCCCAGGGCAGTCACCGCAGCCCGGGCCTCCCCTGCCCCAAACGCGTCTCCCGGGGCCTCTGCTCACTCCCCGAGGGCGCCCCCTTCTCCAGAGCTGGGGGAGCCCCCGGACGCCCAGCCAGGCCGGTGATCCTCCAGGAAGCCGAGATGCCAGCGACTCTACCATCAAGTCCTCTGAGGTCGCCCGCCTCGGGCCCGGCTTTGGGGGTCCCAGCTCCCAAGCCTCCAGATCCTAAGAACAGCCGCTGCCTGGACTCAGCCGGCCCCACGACGAGGACGTGCGTCAGGCCCGTGGTCGCGAAGCGCGCCTCCAGCCGGATGAGGGTCTGGCTGTGCGCCTCAAT